ATATATATATATATATATATATATATATATATTACGCAAAGGGGTATTCATGGTACATGGAGTCAGCACACACTCACCTTTTCCTGTGCTTTCTTACGAATTTGTATGTCCTGCCTTTCATGGGCTAAGGTTTCGGCCAATAAAGAAAACTGCAACAGGACAAAAAGTACTTGATACATTGTATGAACTACAATACAGGGCCAACATAATTTGAATCAAAGCACTAAATAAGTGAAAATGACAATATAGCCCTAAGCAGTAATCATCGGGGTCCAAGGATCAATGACCCATGTGGATAATTAGCGATCCAATTGAATGTTGAATCCAGTTGTATCTTATGATGTGGTTTTTACAACAAAGTTTATCTCGAATCTTCACTGATAGGGTTTGATGAAACAGCAACACACAGGTGTCAAAAAAGCAATGAACTTCCAAAAGAAATCACTCCCTTTAGATTAAAAGCAATTCAACTCAAATTGTGAAACTCGTGTATTAAATAAATTCATTGCACACAGACTGAAGTAGTTTAAGTCTTTGGTTCTTTTAATTGTGATGATTTTGGCTCACATTTAACAAAAACCCACCAATTCACTATCTCAACAAATTAGAATACTTCATAAGACCAATAAAAAAAAAAACATTTTTAGTGAATTCTTGGCCTTCTGGAAAGTATGTTCATATACTGTACATGTACTCAATACTTGGTAAGGGCTCCTTTTGCTTTAATTACTGCCTCAATTCAGCGTGGCATGGAGGTGATCAGTTTGTGGCACTACTGAGGTGGTATGGAAGCCCAGGTTTCGTTGACAGTGGCCTTCAGCTCATCTGCATTTTTTGGTCTCTTGTCTCTCATTTTCCTCTTGACAATACCCCATAGATTCTCTATGGGGTTCAGGTCTGGTGAGTTTGCTGGCCAGTCAAGCACACCAAAACCATGGTCATTTAACCAACTTTTGGTGCATTTGGCAGTGTGGGCAGGTGCCAAATCCTGCTGGAAAATGAAATCAGCATCTTCAAAAAGCTGGTCAGCAGAAGGAAGCATGAAGTGCTCCAAAATGTATTGGTAAACGGGTGCAGTGACGTTGGTTTTCAAAAAACACAATGGACCAACACCAGCAGATGACATTGCACCCCAAATCATCACAGACTGTGGAAACTTAACACTGGACTTCAAGCAACTTGGGCTATGAGCTTCTCCACCCTTCCTCCAGACTCTAGGACCTTGCGTATTCCTATATGTAGATGGGGATCAGCTGAGAGTCAGCTGATGCGAGCTTGACTAACGTGACCTGCCAGAACTAACGCTACGCTTGATATCTGTGTGAACTGTTTTGCATAGACTCTAATTTTGCAGAAATGAAACTAAAACCAAGAAAACACTTTTAATTAATACACTATGTAATATTTTTGGACAAATTATAATATAGTATAATACTGCAGTGCAGAAATACTAAAGAGGTAGTTCCAGTCATTTTGATCACTGTTCTAAATTAGTGTGCAACCTTTAAACATTTGTAACCCATTACAGTTGCATACAGAGTGAGGCAGCTATTCTAAACACTTCGTATTTACCTTTCTTTGCTAAATGGATGATTTTTGCGTGTCACTTAACTTATTTGGTGATTATGACAATTGTGATAAATGGGCCGATGCACAAGATACACTGGACGAACTGGAAATGATAATGTTAAATGAGAAATGTAACGAAAAACGGCACAAGGAATTTACACCAGCAGAGCCTGAAGGGCCATTGTACTGAAGAGTTTAGCTTCAACCCCAATTAAGCACACCTTAACCGGCTAATCAAGATCTAACTAAACCAGGGGTGCTCAAACTCAATCCTGGAGGGCCGGTGTCCTGCAGAGTTTAGCTCCAACCCCAATTAGACACACCTGAACCACCTAATCAAGCTCTTGCTAGGCATGCTAGAAACTTCCAGGCAGGTGTGTTGAGGCAAGTTGGAGCTAAACTCTGCAGGTTCTTCTGCACATCCATAAGGTTTGTTAGAGAAGTTTGGTTTGACATACAGCTGTGTGAAACCGCAACCTATCAAAAAAAAATCTTTCATTCTCCAGCAAAGGCGAAAATGGGATGAAGTACCTGACCCTGACACATAACCAAGAAAAAAAAAAAACCTCACTGTAACGGATAGCGAAAATTCAGAGGATTTATGTTTGCCAGCCCTGGCAACCAACTTTGTCCCATTAACAGCTTTAAAAAACACCTGTCAAAGTGACCAGTCAATGCCGGAGGTATCATCAGGTGCATACCTCCATGCAAGCCACTAACATATGGTTCACCGGGGAGCCAATGGGGGTCAACTACCTTGGCAATATGCAACATGCTAAGAGGTATTTTTAGCCTATTGTTACAAATTGCCAGGCTCAAAGCAGCGTAACATAAATGGGGAAGCCACATGCAAATTAAGTTAACACAAAATATAGATTTATTAAAATAATCCATACTTATAATAATCCAGCAAACACAAAAGGGAAGAGGAAAAAAAACAAAACAAAACAATATTATTAAAGGACTGGTGCTGGAGAGGTGTCAAGCTCAAGAGTGGCACCCCATGCTGGAAAACAGAGATCTTTTATCAGTCAACTCATCACCGTTAACCCACTGCACCTGCCGCTTGACTCCACGCAGCAAACACACAAGAGAAAAAAAAGAACACAAACAAATCGGACTAGTTTCGTGGGCTAGTTTACAGGCTAGCAGAAGTCGACGACGGAACCCGTTAACATAATCCAGCAAATTCATGGGTTTCGCTCCAAGCTATAAAACAGTCCATAGTCTTCTGTAACAAGTTTGTACGCTTTGAGCACTGCTTCTTTTACAATGTCAGACACCTGTAGCGAATCAGCTCAAAGGGGAAATATGAATAATTAATCATAACTAGTTATAATTAATTATAAATATTTAGATCCGCTGTAAGTATTTACTTGACCTCTCAGGGTCAACTGTCTGTCAATTCTAAGAATGTTAATTTCCTGGTTAAGGGAAATAATACACACCTTTTTCTGAGATTTTGATATGGTAATATAAGCCTCCTGCGCCTTGCCCACCAAAACACTCTGCAAAATTAATGTGCGCTCCACATCAACCCACACTCTATCCTCAGCAAAGTTTTCAAATAATGAAAAAACACATCTGGGTCTTTTTCATTAAATGTAGGTAAAAATTTGACCATATTCTAAATATCGGAGAATTGACAATTCAAATCCAGCTGATCATTTGGTAAACTCTCAGAACCAACAGTACCTGGCACTTTATCCTCAGCAATCAAAGACGTTCTGTTTCGTACGCTAGTTTTAACTCCTCTAATTTGTGTTGAGCCTTAAATTTTTCAAACTCTCGCTCACAATCTCATTCTTTACTTCTTTTCTTTGCCCATTCCAGTTGACAATCTTATTCATGTTCCTTACTTTTCATTTCTGACAATTCTTTTTGCTGCTCAAACGTCAAAGTAAAGTTCCTGTAGCGTTTGGATCAATCAGACACACAATTATTCATTATATTTAATGAATAATCCAACAAACCCCCTCACCCAAAAAAGCAAACTGTGTGAGAGTTCTGTGGACAACCCCCCAAAGTGCAACTAACACCCCAAAAAGGCAGAAGCAATGGCAAGCAATGACAAATCATCTGATAACACTGATTTTATTGCTCAAAGGAACGCGGGCAGAGCAACTCTCACTCATTTCTCCATAGGAAAGACACATAATGCCCATAAAACTCTTCCCTATTCATTCATAGAAAACCTTCTATGAATGAACATGCCTATTTCCAGGACATTGTGTGTATAATTATTACTTTCTTGTATATTGTCTTTTGTATTGTATACTGTTTTATGTATGCTTATGAAAGAACCACTAGTTAATGTAACCTCACCTTTACCATGTTTGGTATTTATGAATTTGTATTTTGATGATCTAAATAAGAGTGCATATTATATGTTGATACCTATGCAACATCTTAGTGTTCTAAGAATCTTTAATAGTTTTTGCATCAGCACCCAATCCAGTTACAGATGCAAAATACCATGTTCGAAGACAAAGAGACGTAAACTATTTCACAAGTGCACCCTAATTCTAGAAATAAACAAGTTCTAAGCATTTATTTAGGGATTACACTTAAAGATTTTTTATCCTGCAGGTCTATGGAATTACTTTTGTGCCAATAAAAATGAATGTAATTTTTCAAGAAACTTATGAAAATATGAATTGAAACTGAATAAAATGTATTTGAAACTAAAGAAAAGATCAAATCGCAGGAAAAATCTTTGACTTTGTTTTTAATACACTGCATGTTTTGCTGTTTTCTCCTCTTTCTTTCGCTGATCTGTACTTACAAATGCTTACAAATACCAGAGTTTTCGTTTACGCTTCTGAAGTTTTCATTTATGCGTGTGAAGTTTTCGTCCACCATTCTGGCACAAATCATGGGGGCGGGGCTAGCAGCAGTGTGTTCTCATTGGCTACTGAGTTTTTGATTGACAGTTTTTTTTACCTGGAAGTGAAGGCGCCAGTGTTGCACCTGTGTGGATGTGAGCATCTGTTAGTGGCTTCCTATTTAATTTTAGTGATATAAAATGACAACAAAGATTTTTTATTATTATTTTATCTGTATTTATCTGCCGCTACACTAAATTGTTGAGATGATATCTTAGGAATAGCACAGACAAATGATATCATCATCATTATCATCAATCATAGTCGTTATCAGGATACTTGCGGTAAGTTGTCTTGATTTAGCCCAATCATTACAGGACTTCATTATCTACATACAGTTACTGTCTTCAATTAGATCATATTTGCTTCGATTAGTTTATATTAAGGGGATAGTTCACCCAAAAATAAAAATTATCTCATCTTTTACTCACCCTCATGCTGTCCCAGATGCATATTACTTTCTTTCTACATGTAAACACGAATTAAGATTTTTTTAGAAAATAATCCATCTCTGTGAGTCCTAAAGATGCTTTAAAAACCACACACAGTGACCATGACAGTAATCCATCTGACCCCAGTAGTTGAATCAGTGTCTTTTGAAGTGAAACAATAGATAAGAAAAACACTAATAATTTAAACTGTTTTGACTATTAACAATCGCTTCCGATCAACTGTCATACATGCATGGGCTAGAA